ATAGGTATAGATAGATATAGGTATAGATAGATATAGGTATAGATAGATATAGGTATAGATAGATATAGGTATAGATAGATATAGGTATAGATAGATATAGGCATGTTGGGGCACACAACAATTACTTTAACATTGTTTTGTCAAAATTGGTAAGTGTCCAGGTGCTTCAGTCTCCTGACAATAGAATTGCAATCTCAAAATTCGATAAAAATGACGTGCAGCTGACAAAAAAGAACCAATTGATGCGATACATCGCATGTCGTTTTGACACAAAATATATATAGCGTCCATCGAATCACTTTAAAATCAAATAAACATAATCCAGGCTACGGTTAGGTCACTCACACGCAAATCGAGCCGAGCATATCAGAATTGCCTACCACTCGGAAGGTGAGGATTCGATCGAAAAAAAAACTTGAATCGATCGAAGTAGACCGATCGACATTGATTCGATCGACAAATTATTGGAAAACCGGTGTCGATTCGATCGGCATGAATTCATCAAAAAATAAAGTGCGGGCCCCGTCATATATGCGCAACGCATGAAGTATCATGCAAACTTGCAAGGCGCCACTACGCGCTGCGTGCGCCATGCCGTACGCGCAATGCATGAAGTATCTTGCTGTCTTGTAAGGCGCTACGATGGGTTCCGCGCCGCGCCAGACGCACTATGTTTGACGCCATTATTCAAACTTGCAGCGTGAGCGGTTTTGAACTTATGATTTTTACGTTTTTGTACAGTTTGTTAGATTTCAAATGATAAAACATTACATAAAACCCAACCAATTTTCTTCTCTTCATTTACATATTTTTGTAAATAATTCTTAATACAAGCATAGACACATTTCTTTCGGCAAAGTAGATCATTTTTGTCATATCTTCTCCATTAATCGTTTAATTTATGAACCAAGGGTGTCCTCGTGTTCAGTTGACTCAATAGTTTCCACTTGAACACGAAATTTGCCAGATTTCAGGCACATGCGAATTCTTTATTGAAGCACTAGAATGAGAGGCTATGGAAGCTTTTAGTCTAAAAGATTTTTATGGGTTATGAAGTGAATAAAATTAGTGTTGTCATGGGTAAAATTTGAGTTCAGTTAAATACCATCAAACGGTGTGGATATCAGCATGAAAGATTTAACACAGAAAAGAAAAGAAATTGTTGGGGGACGTGGCTGAAAAATAAAAATTAAACACAAATCGGGGCGTTTTGTTCGATTTAGGTATGGAGTATTTTAAACAGCAAAAGAGGGGGGGGGGATCCTATAAAAACTGAAGCTCATATGTCTCACTTGTGGCAATGGAGGATAGATATAAATATTAAAAAGTTATACTTCTTAAATGCCAAAAAATGTAATGCCTCCAACACCTTAAAGTTTTGCTGCCCTTTCATGCGTACATTTGAAATAGACACAAAAAAAGGGAAAAAATTCAGAGCTTACTTGATGATGGAAGCTGATGTGATGAATGAAATGTTGAAGAAGAGACGAACTCCTATTTAAAGTCGTGTTGCTTGAGGAAGATATACGTCATTCTAATTTCAGTCTTTTCATCACTTGTTCCGCTTTGATTCTCGAAGAAGTTGAATCATCCTTCTTTCTGCATTCCTGCAGATCTCACAGTCATGCAAAATTTGCGGACATTCACCTCATCTTGACCAAGATTTTCTAATTAAAATTTTCATAATTCAATTTCATTTTACATAAAAAAAACATTGATTGACTCAAATATGAAGATTCGTTTTTCCGCCAAGAGTTTTTTTTTTTCTTTTTTTTTCAAGACAAGCTGAATTTCTGTAGGAACAGAATAATGAAACAAAATGACATTGCTCCGGCAAAAAGTAGCTTACATCAAACAACATAATGATTGATTCAAGGAGAGATATTTGTTGGCCTTTAAGAATCACCATTCATTTTTTTCCAGTGATGATAAGTATCTGAATTAGAACCAGAATCAGGATCTCGCCTTTATGAACGCGAACAAAAATGTGCAACCACACTATTAAAAATAATATTCTCTGTTCCGTATTTTGTTCCCAATTTTGTTTCTTCCTTTTATTTGTACACAAGAAAATTATACAGCAAATTTGTTATACAAATAGAAAATATCTTTAAAGAACGTATGTCTAACTTAGTCACAAAACGTTGGTCTAGAACTTGAAATTACGTAATGGTAATTTATTAAAGTCCCTTACATTGTAATTTCTCTGGCATAAAGGCGTATCTCGATTTCCGCATGAACCCCAGAGAGTATTGTGTTATATGGTTTCTTAATGTGGTTTATATGGTTTTATATGGTACCCCATTGTTTTATACGTAAAACAGGACTCACGAGGAAATTGAGATGCACCTGCAACGGCAAAGAGGCAGCGACGTATTGAAGATAAGATCGAGTTGTTTCTAACTATATTTCAATTTATTTGACTCCAAATGGACAGAATTTATCGGAAAAGAACCGACCCATACTTTGAAAATAATTGAGTTAAGAATGTTTTTGAGTTGCGTTAATCGTATATTTTCTCCTGCCATAAACTCAAAGCCGAAAAAAAATTAGTCTGTGAGAAGAGGGGTTAAAGTTTATTCTCTACATCGAGTCTTGAAGGAAAAGAACTTTAAACCTCTTTATCTCAGTTCCAACTTTATATGGGTTGATTCCTTCTTGATAAACTCGCGGTTCAAACAAACTATAATCGGCTTTAAATTCCTTCATTTGCGTCTATGTTGGAACCTCTATTGCTCGCTTTACGAGTCAGATGACTCAACTAATGTTTCATAAAAAAACAGAATATTACTTTTTTTTAATAATGTAGTCACATACAAAGAAATAAACACCGTGGGAAAATAAACTATCACGAGGTAATATCAAACAAAGCACGATAGATGAGGAGGTTGGTATAAAAACGAGGCTCGACTGATAGAAGTGATAGATACGCGACCTAGTGTAGTGATTGGTGCAGCCTCATCGAAAGATTGAGAAATCCTCCTGGATATCGGTCAACGTGCTCCGCGCACAGGTGTCAGAAAAATTGAAGAGTGGGATGACGTGGTTACTGGTGAGGACACTGTATGAACGCCTCAAAAACGGAGAATTTTAAGAGATAGAACCGAGTACACTTCTCACCGGTAAAAAAGAAGTAACATTAATTGATATTCAAATGCATCGACTAAGAGATTACATTTATCCGATTTTATATCAGTTTAGTCTTGTTTGAGATGCACTGGTGCAATCCGGCGCACAGTGGATCGAGTCAAATAGAGAGATCGGACATAAAATGTTTGACTAAAACTGCAAATTTTGATGTTTATTTCGTCACATTTTAAAAATCAAGGGGTGTATCTAGAAGATTATTTCACGAGAAAACCAATGGTACCACTTTTAGAACCTCAGAATTTTGTATGAGCGGAGTTACAAGCTCTTGAAGTTTCCAAATCTTGTCCGATCTCTCATATTGACGCGATCCACTGTCCGGCGCTGGTCGGGCTTCGGTTGATCGCTCGCGAGATTTTGCTGGCGGCTAGTGCAACTTACAATTAGCTAATCCGTTTGAAGATGTTTCGATTGTTCATAAATTTTATAATTCTCTTATGTAATTTTTTTTTTTTTTTTTTTTTTTTTTNTAATTTGTAATTTTGTTGCATTAAAGTGTTTATTGAGTTTACCGATATGAATGATGATGATGTTTGTTCATGTTTGTGTATAATTTGACGCTAAACTGTTTATTGGCCATTATGAGTGCTCAAGATTGCGTTGGACAGGAATGAAAAATATAAAAGGTTTTATTAAATTGATGCAGAATTCACTAAATGAATAAATTATACATTGAATTTCACAAACTAAAAATAAGTGCGGGGATGCTATTACACAATTTTTCGAGCTTTTTATTTAATTATTTTTCTCCTCTTTTTCAAATATTTTTTGCTCGATAAAGTTGCCAAAAGTTTAAATATTAACCTAAATGAATTAGGTATTCATGAATGCATCAGCACTTTTTTACATAATTTATGAGCATTTGACTGGTCTTTTTTCTCTAAAATATCTTATGCGAAAGTAAGTTTTGATTGTCACTTATTTTGTTAGTATTTTTCATCTGGAGTAGTTACAGATATTTTATAAAATCTACACGCAGTTGTATCTTTTGGATTTCCCTCAATACTAGCGATATTAATACCTTACTCTACTATATAAAATCTTAAGAGTAAGGCGTAACCCATGAGACACGAAGCACTTCGGGTCCCTGGTAAAAATTGGCAGTAGATGTGTGTTCCAAAATACTATAGACCTAAAGCCGGCTGTAAGATTTCCAATAGCTTCTATAGCCGGCTACACAATTTCTTATAGCCTTTTACAGCCAATGGCGATTAAGCAACAGCCAGACGATAAAGTTTATGCTAAGTGTTACTAATTACGGATACTAGGACTTGGTTAGTTTTTGGACTACTGCTCTCTTTTTGTGCCGTAGTATCTTTTCTTTGCGAGGAAAGCTCCGTACTTTTGAAGGATGCCAGTCATTCTTAATATGTTGGAGCGCCTTCAATTTCTTATGATACTGTGCAATACCTCTGGTGTGAAATAGTTGCTTCAGACGCCGCGCGCCGTGGCACGCTGCGGCGCGGCGGGCGGGTAGAGAGCGCGAAACGCGCATTGCCGCCTACAAACCTAACAGGGATACTTCACGCATTGCGCAAAGCGTGAAGTATCCCTGTTAGGTTTGTAGGCGCCAGTGCGTCGCCGCTCCGCTTTGTGTTAGGCTCTAACAATTAACCTCGCGGAGTCAGCGTTTTTCAACTCATGATTTTGAAATGTTTGCACACTCTGTATGGACTATTCTCATTTTAATTGATGAAAAAAAAATTTTTTAAAGGAAAATATAATGTTTGCTTTCTAAATATTAAATTAGTTCCGTATGATCAAACTTAATGATTTCCAAAGCACACGAATTTCTACACAATTTCTTTTAGCCTTTATAGCCAATGACGATAAAGTGTAAAGCCCGGCGATAGGAACTATAGCCCGACTGTATACATTTTTATAGCTTCGTATAGCCTTGCTACATGATTTGCTCCGCTTTCTACAGTCAGCTATATGATTTTTAATAGCCTTCTTTAGTCGGCTATAAGAACTCCTATGGTATTTTGAAACGCAGCTCCCATCGCCAATTTTTACCAGGGGTTGTTGGACTGCGGAGCGGTCAGAAGCCAATTTCCTTGTGTTTTGGAAATATCGCTCCTTGCTCTCGCTAAGTATTTTTGATACTGTCAAAAATGGAATATTCAAATGACTACAGATTCTTTTTTTTATCCTATCACTGGGTAGCATATATTGGTCTTGGGTCTATCAGCTCTTGGGTCAACTATTATTGAGCTGTAATTCCTATGAAATAGGAAATGAAATACTACTATTACCCCTGCTCCCCCTTGAAAAAAACTCTCCTCGCACAATTATATGGCAACCGCGCCTTAATCTTCTAGAGCTGTCACGGTAGTTTTGTCTATCACGGTGCTGATTCTTTGAATCCCAATCAAACAATCGTTCCATTCCGTTTTTTCGGGGCCCCCCCCCCCTCCTTCCGCCGCCGGATGACATCGTAATTATTCATTAGCAATTATGAAAAATAGCTGACACACGATCAGATTTCATCGAGTCACCAAATTACTTTCGGTTTTGCCGTTAGCTCTGTCCCGGGTTTTTCTCGGGATGCCATCATATTTCACCTCCATTTTCACTTTCTTGTTCCACTCAGTCGAGCTTCTTGCTCTTGTTTCACTTTGTTTTACATAATCCGCTAGGAGCTTAACGACGAAATCGGAGTTTCAAAGCCGATCGGTTTTTGTTGATGGTTCGTTGTCCCAAAAAAACACGCGGTTGACTGAACAGGAGTAAATGGAAAGACTGCATGCTAGAAACGAAAGAAACAGAGAAACTTCGATTGCAGTTCAGCACGTGCACTTGTCTAAAGACAAAAAACTCCAAGTGCACGAACATTTTGCAGCCAAACTATAACGACTATGTGTCGTTATAGTTTGTCGTCTAATGTTCTTAGTCAGGTTTCCAAGAAGTCTGATTGCAATAAATTACAATTATCTGGTTGAGCTGGATCGCGTTAAGCAGAAAGAAACCAATTCCTTATCAGCTATTGCCAGATTTAATTGGGCGATTTAATTTATTACATGAAAATGGTTGTGTGGATTCTCGTGCGAATTTTAGTGAATTTTCTGGAAAAAATTAAATTTGCTTAAAAATAAAAACCCGATGTGGCTTGGTTCCTCTCTGCAAAATGCGGTCCAAACATTGTTACTGCATCGGATTGTTGTGTATGTTGCATATCTACTGATTGAAGGGGCACTTCTTATTAAAATTTATCGCTTTAAAATTGAAGTACCTAAGTTTTGATTTTTTATTGCTTGGCAAACTGCCCATCTTTTCGGGTACGTGGAGACAATCTTCTTATTTATGGTTTAAAATTATCATTTATTGACCAAATTATACCTTTTCTGTAAGATGAAATCATTAGGGAAACGCGTTACGCACAACTTTTAGGGCGCGATGCACTTGGGGGTTGGGCCGCGACCTAGCGATGCAAAAATATTGCAATTCCACGGTTAATAATTTGCAATTTTATTGCTTCGCATCTCATTATTTCAATATTTTTATCGCACTTTCCTGTGTGATCACGTACTGTGCACAGCTTCTGTGTTTCAAACTTGTTCCAGCAAAACGGATCAAACATAATGAGTGAATAGTATCAGAGAGGAAAATTGTTCAAAAGGGTGGAAAGGGAAAAATATTATATCAGTGAATAGAAATTAATATGTATGAGAGTACCATTTATTTGTTTTATGACACTGTTTAAAAATATGAAAATATTTGGCTGACTTAAGGGCAGAGTAACCACATCTTTGGTAATGTTTCGTTGGAACATAACGTATCTACAAAAAGGTAACCTATCAAATATCATATGATATAGGAGATACAGCCTGAGTTGCTTCACACTCTATAACTCACAGCATTTGAGATTCGTAAAAATGAAGTTGAAAGTATTGCTTCTACAATCGTGTATGAGTAATTTCATTAGCAAGAGCGTAGAATTTCGTTGCAAATAATTGAGGATTTCCGTTGAAATCGGAGTTTGTGTCAAAATAACGTTCCAGATACTATCGATTATTGCGACAAGAAAAAACTTTTTATAAAATTAACTCTGGGATTTAGATGAAATACTAAACATGTGAACTGTGAATGTGTTAATGTGCTACAGTTGAAATGCATTGTCTTTGTAGAATATCATGACCCAAAGAGGAGTCACTTAAATTGTTTTGTTTTAGAGAGCTACTAACTATACAAAAAAAGAGATATCATTTCATCGCTTTGAAAATAAAGACAGGCTTGATCAGTTACTGTTATACTGAAAATTTTCCACGAAACAAGCGCAGGACGTAGGAATTTGGAAGACGTCTACCATAGGTCTATGATGAGGTTTGTTTGGGTCTATGGCCAAAAGTTTCACAGGCATTTGCCTTTGAATACACATCGACTTGTAGCATGGAGGCAAGTATTCGCATTTTCCATTGGGATACCTGTAAAAGAGATGGAGACCAATGGTGAGTCGAAAAGAGCATCGAATCGGTTTAAGGTGAATCTTTAGCTTTTGTGCGATGCATTCTGGATGCGATCGATACATCCCAAAGTTTAACTATTAGTCGAACTATTTTGGAAAATACATATTATAATTTATAAAATTTTAGAACATGAACTTCTTCTTGCTCATCTGCGTACACACTTAGTTACCCTCACCCTTGTTGTCATGTTGGACTGATATGTTATTATTTGTATGCACACGTTCAGCCGATCTCCTTTACGCTATGGCCTATGCTACAGTATGATACATGAAATTACATCGAACTTTAGTGAGGAATCCGAATCTGAGCATAGATTTTGGATGTCACTCGTTTTAAGTCAAATTTTCAAAATTCCAAAATCCAAGATGGCGGACGTTCCCTAAAATACTATCTCGGCTCCTGGTTGTTCGATTTTTGTGAAACTCGATATCAGGGTATATTTTTCTACGAGAGACCCGAATTCTTAGCCAAAATTACAAAATACCAAAACTCAAGATGGCGGACGTGGCCTAGGTGAACAGGTGAAAATGAAATCACAAATGATAAATAAGTTTGTCTTACTTGCAAGTTTCTATCCTCACGCTCTGAGGATACTTATCCGTGTTGATGACTATCATCCATTTATTCTTCCAATTGAGAGCCCATCCGATTCTGATGTAGGCTACTTCAGATTCGCAGACGAAGTGACCTTTATGGCTAAAACAGAAAAATGTACACTTAGGCTGTTCTTATGTGCTGATACGTTTATTTTTGCTTTTTAGGCCAGGGCCGAATGCACATACTTACGAGATCGACGGTTAAAGTAGAAAAACGCGTCTTTCCGACTGCGACTGACTACTAACTACGTCGTCGCTTCTGTTTCAATATCTTGAAAAAAAACGAATCAACAATTTTTCTTAAAACAGACGATACAAAAGACGTAATTTGTGTGTTTTGAAAATGACATTTAAAATTGCATGAAAACTTAGAATGTATTGTAACTTTTAAACTTTTTTTAAATTATTAAAGAATGACTGTAACTCATTTTAGAAGTGCATCATGCATGTCACTATATCATTTACCCTGAAAGTTTCAAAAGTAGTACTTGAGATGTTTCGGTTTTCCTCGTCTAAGACAAACGTCTCATAAACATTTCATCAATTTCCCGAGATATTTCAAAAACATCTTTCATCGTGCCTGTAGAGAGATGTAGATACTCGTTATTTTTTGAAAGCAATTTAGCTTATTTTGCGTTTGCGTAGCATTTCTGAAATATTTCAGATTCATATTCATACGTGGAGGGTAAGAAAATATGTCGGTTTTGATGGATTCTCACCGGAATTTATGCGTGACATTGTCATCGGTAATGAACTCCTCTGCTGAGTACTGATGTAACTCATTGTAGATCGTTCGTACCTCATCGTAGTAGCTGTCAATCGTGTCATGCACTCGGTCACTGAAAAATTATTTTGGGTAATTTTAGTTGAGTAAAGCACAAAAATTTTAAAAAAAGTTACACAGCAAATTTGATGAACAAATGAGTAAATTACGCACCAGAGAATTCAAAATTTCCCGCAAAATTTTGAACAGAAAAGACATTGCGTGTTGCTTTGATTCATATACCTTATCCGGTGGCCTATTTGCGTGCATTATTGGGATGTATCATCATCCAGTTTCCGAGGAATTTCAAAATTCCCGCATTCGATAAAACGATCCCCTTCGTTGTTGGCAACTAGCCTTGTCCAGAATGCGATGCAAGGATACCCAACTGAAATATCGAGACATCTTACACACGGTACTAAATTTTTCCAAAGTTTAGTTGAAGTCGTTTTGGGAGCGTTTCTTTTGAAATTTTTTTCTTTCTTTAGGTACAATGAGATAAAAAGCGCCTTTGCTCCTATGGCTCGGATATGCAGTTTATCGCCTGGTTGTGGCTTTATCGCCATCGGCTATGAAAGGCTGTAGGAAATGTATAGCCGGCTATAGAAGCTGTAGGAAATCTCACAGCCGGAGGTCTATAGTATTTTGGAGCACAGATCCTACTGCCAATTGGACCGCGTTTAACAGAAAGGAACCAAGCCACATCGGGATCGAACCGAGAAAGAGAGGTTTGAAGTTTGGCTCCTGCGTAAGACTCAGTGTAAAAGATAAACTTCAAGTTCAATTTCTACAAAATTTGCTCCAACGAAAACTTTGAATTTTTGGCGATGGATAGTAGAGCAGTGGTTGAGTTCAAAACCACTCATAACTCAATTTTTTCCAAAATGTGGGTTGGTTCCTTTCTGCTTAACTCAGTCCAATTTTTACCAGGGATAGCACGACGAGTAACTTCTAAAAATATCATAACGAGTGATTTCGGAAGATATCACAATGAGTAATTTCTAAAGATTGATATCTTTATTGATAACGAGAGATTTCTGAAGCTATCACGAGTGATTTCTAAAGATATCACAATGAGTTGGAACCTACTCGGGGTAATCAACGGTGTGCATGCAGAAGTTCATCTCTCTGGCGCAGGCCGGCCGAGGGGTGTCGGGCAACTGGGGTTGCGACTGGGGGGCTGCTGCTGTCGTCTGCACGGCCTGAGTTGGTTGCGGTTGCTTTACGTTCGAGGACTGGCCCTGCGGCTGCGCCTGCGACTGCTGTTGCGTCGTCGATTTCTTCCCCGAGCTGTTCTCCTGGGCCTGGGTCTTTGGTAGTGTCACTCGGGTGTATGGATCTATCAGAGATAAGAAAAAAAAACATGTTTTTTGTCATGCTAAATTAATTCATTCCTTTTACTTAATGCATACCCCAATTTACTTACGTTTAAGCAGCAACGATTTTTTGGCGCGTATACGTAGTATACCGCCTTTGCGATCGTTTCGACCCCCCCCCCCCCCCCCCCCCCCCCCCCCCCCCCCCCCCCCCCCCCCCCCCCCCCCCCCCCCCCCCCCCCCCCCCCCCCCCNCCTTATCAACACATTGTGTTGGAGTTCACTGCTTGTTTTTTTTTATTTGATTTTTTTGTCCTCCGTAGCGTAACGTTACAAATTTTTATCGATGCTTCATTTTCTGGAGAAAAACTACCAAAATTTTGAACTTAAAAAAAAAGAGATTTGGACCCTACAAGCACTGCAACATTGATTTTTGTCCCCTAGTACCAGAGATTAACGGTTGCAATAGACAAAGGAAGTAGGTAATAGACTAACTAACAGGAACCCACGAGAGCCCTATAGTTAGTCCATCATATCCTCCTTTCATCTATACGAACTATGCATTTCAACCAATAGGATTGCTCCATACTCCCAAGGTTTTCCTTGTCAATCGTTTTGTCCATCAATTTCAACAATGAACTCGCCGAGTATGGCTATATGTTTTGAAGAGATACCTGGACTCACCAGTTTTGTTCTTGAAGTGCTTGGTGTGGAGTTTGGAGCGATCCTATGGTTGAAATGGGTGGTTTCTGTACACTGAAAAAAAAAACTCCGGCCGTGGGAGCCGCAATTACGGGCTATATAGACATACCGTCCGTTCCGGGCTCAAAGGCCGAAAATTCCGGCTGCTGGAGCCGTAGCTTCGGCCTCTGAGCCCGGAGCATTCGAAGCTACGCCTCCAGCAGCCGGAATTTTCGGCTTTTGAGCCTGGAACGGACGGTATGTCCATGTAACCCATAATTGCGGCTCCCACGGCCGGAATTTTATTTTCAGTGTAGACTAAGGGAAAAAATGATGGACAAAATACAGAGTCTCTCGTGGGTTGCCGTTAGTCCGTCTATCTGCTTTGTCCATTGCAACCACCAATTTCTACCAATAGGATCTAATCATACCTCTTTTGTCACCTTTTTCTATAGCTTTGTTTATCGATTCCAACAACCGACCCGTAGTGTGGCTATATAACGTTTTTAAGGAGGCAGCTGGACTCACCGGTTTTGTTCTTGGACTGCTTGGTATGGAACTTGTTGAGGACGAAGGGCTTGTAGCTGAAGGGTTTGTCCCTGATGGAGGGGATCGTGGGGAGGATGTCGTGGGCCCTGTGTTCCTTGAGCAAGTCCTTGGCCGAGCGGGTGGACGTCTCCGGGCCGGCCTCGGCAAGGACCCGCCAACCCCCGGCTTGCGTCTCATCGCTCCACATTTCAGAGACCCACAGAAGCATGTAAACTCGCCACAGAATGGATAACAACATCTGCACAGAGTCATCAACCAAGCTAGATTAAAATACTGCCGTGATAGCACGGAAAAAAAGCACGACGTGTTGTTGGATGATATGGATGTCGCAGGCAAATAGTGAAATCAGGCATTTTGTCAAATGCCTAGGCAGATAGTCAAATTTTGACGGTCTACAAAATTTTGTGTATTTATGGCGAAGAGCTCACGATTTTTCAATATTTTGGGAAAAATAACTCATCAAACCTACGAACTCTTATTGTCTTTTCCTCTTCAATTGCCTCTCTTATTTTTAAATGTTGAAATTCCGAAAATTCTGTATTTTACGACATGCTGAAAATTTCAAGATCAGTGACTCTTCAGGAGCTAAAAATTGTTTAAAATACTAGTGTGTGTGTGTGCAAATTTTTATTGAAAATTTTTTCTTGCAGGAGCAATGAATTATTTTGTCTGAAATTAGGAAAAGAATTAGAATTTCGCTCTAAGTTAGAATATTTGACTATTTGCCTAGGCATTTCACAAAATGCCTGATTTTACTGTTTGCCTGCGACATGGACATTTCCAATTAATGGGCCACTAGACAAGGTACGAATTTCAGCATTTTGATACATGTTTTTTAACCAGAATTTCACGTAAAACACGATACGCACAACGAAAATTACCGAAATCAACTCCTAACGAATAGATTTTTAATGATTCTTGGTGCGATGCGTGAATTGAAACCACCCGCTCATGAAAACGCAATACTCATCATGACATGATCATGACAGTCTCTGCTATATAAAAATCTAGCAACCGCGATCTTGACACTTTGGCTCAGCTATAGCAAATTGCTTATAGTTTGAATAACACTTGGTGGAAAGTGAATACTGCTCGATAGAGAAGATTGCCGAAACCGTTGTAGTGCGCGATTTGACTCACGTAGAGCTTTGAGTTTCTTGTGAGCGGGCAGTTCAAATTCTTCGTGACCAATGTGAAATAAAATCGTTAATATCTTCGTTAGGAGTTTGCAGTAAAGACTAAGATTGCAGTAAACTTTCGATTTGTGTAATCTTTATTCCCGTTTGTGACATCCACAAGCCGCGTTGTCTCAACTCTCTCTATGAAGGGTCTCCAGCGCTAACTATGCGTTGCGCGAGCCGTGCTGTACGCGCAATGCATGAAGTATCCTGTGGTCTTGCAAGGTGCTATTATGCATTCCGTTCCGGACGCGCCAGCCTTGCGCCGCGGGCCGCACCGTCACCGCTCACCATGATTGACGCGATTTTTCAAAATTGCGGTGTAAGTGGTTTTGAACTTATAATTTTGAAGTTTTTGTACAGTTTGTTGGAATTACTGTCGTTTCAATTGATAAAACATTTCATAAAACCCGACAAATTTTCTCCTCTTCAATTACTATGCGTTGCGCGCGCCGTGCTGTACGCGCAACGCATGGAGTATCCTGTGGTCTTGTAAGGCGCTGCTATGCGTTCTGCGCCGTGCGCGGCAGCCCCGCGCCGGCCATGCCATAAGAATAAACCATGGATAAAAACATCTGCACCGTCATCAACCGAGCTAGATTAAAACACTGCCGTGATAGCGGAGAGAGCCGTAAGGGCAAAAGTGAAGTTTAAAGAAAACGAGCTCAAAAGCATCTGCCTGAAAATTTTATTGAAAGAAGCCTCCGTTCTTGGTCAAAGTGCTACCAATCATCCGAAAAACTCCAAAGCGTGAAGGAGATGGCACATACGGCCGTCTTGCCCATCATTCTGCCGTGCTATGGAAAAACGTCATATGAACCTTTAAGTGTTGCCAAATTCCCTTTGTTGAAACACGAACTTCCTGGTAAACTCATGAATATTTTCCCTCCAATTTTTCAGATAATTTTGCTCGCCATTCAACCGAAAAGTCCTGAAAATTTCAAGGGAAAATGTTCAGAAATTTCCTCAGAAATTAGCATTTTATCGAAGGAAATATGGCAACTCTTGAATGTTCATACGGCGTTTTTCCTCAGTACGGCAGCATTAGTCTGACATGAAATTGAAAAAGGCCCTTTTTACATAGTGAAAGAAAATTCGTCGGTTTTGACTATTTAAACGATTTTTATGCAGTGGCGATGCTTGAAAGTTGGCAACAACGTTTTTTCTCCTTTTAAATCCATTAAAAATATTGGTTTTAGGCGCGAGGCAAGCTGCCTCGCTAAGACTCGCATGTTTTACATACATTTCAAACGACAGAAAGCGTTGTCACTAACTTTCAAGTATCGCCACTGCTTAAGATACTGCTGCTAATTTAATGTATTTGCATTTTCATTTAGCATTGGTTACAAATCGCTTATATTGCCATCACGATTATCGAAGGCAGTGGCGTGGCGTTCTTTGCGATATATCGATTGATACGCCATTTAAACCTATGGAAAAGGATCGATAAACAGGGTGTTCGCAGCGAACACCTTAGTAATCGATTCTTTACCATAGGTTTAAATGGCAAATCAATCGATATATCGCAAAGCACGCCACGACACTGATCGAAGGCGAACTCGACCAGAAGCAGATTAGCTCCTCGAGGCAACCTGGAAAATTGCCAACATACTTGCCCAACGTGGGGCCGCGGTTTACTCCCACCCCTCATAATTTTTCGATATTAGGCATAAGCGTACCTAGGTCATTTCGCTATAAAATTGCCGAAGTTATAGGTCAGATTATCAGAGTTTATTTTTGTGTGCATCGAAAAAAAGTTATGCTTATTTAACATTCTGGATGTAAAAAAGTATGCGAGAACTCACAAAACGCAGAATTAACCGCCACAGCAGCTAGCTTTACATCTTGACATTGCTGAAGTAACTGATGTTGCTGTCAGTTCAGCGTTTTATGAGTTCTGGCACACAAATTTACGAGGGGCGTTCAATAAGTAAGTATCCCCCCTCTCTAAAATCCATTAGAATGAACCAATTTTAAAAAAAACTTGGGCTCAAAATCTTCCTTAGGATATTTTGAGTTCAACAAAACAAACCGCAACAAAATCGGACCATGTCCGGCCGAACGCGAGCCGTTTGAACGCGCCGAGGTGCTCGACGCTCCCGCCGAATCCGCGAGGATTTGAAGTCCGCTACAGGAGAAGAGCTTCTCTGCCAAAGCCTCAGTCGTTCATCACTGACGAAAAATCAAAGAAATTTTTGTAGAATAAAGGGCTTACCTCACTTCTCCACATAACCAGCTCGATCCAAGCAAGTCTGATACTGAGACTAAGAGAACAGCTTTTGGATGCCTCGCGCGTGGAAGTCTTTCAGCTGACCGGGGATGAAAGAGTGGACGGCTTGTTTGATCTCTTCCCTGATTCAACATTAACTCCTCCAAGTTCAGATTTGAGGAACGGGAATAAATGGTGGTCTGGTTTGCCATTTATTATCGTATCTGAAATCTGAACTCGGAGGAGTTAATGTTGAATCAGGGAAGAGATCAAACAAGCCGTCCACTCTTTCATCCCCGGTCAGCTGAAAGACTTCCACGCGCGAGGCATCCAAAAGTTGTTCTCTTAGTCTCAGTATCAGACTTGCTTGGATCGAGCTGGTTATGTGGAGAAGTGAGGTAAGCCCCTTATTCTACAAAAATGTCTTTGATTTTTCGTCAGTGATGAACGACTGAGGCTTTGGCAGAGAAGCTCTTCTCCTGTAGCGGACTTCAAATCCTCGCGGATTCGGCGGGAGCGTCGAGCACCTCGGCGCGTTCAAACGGCTCGCGTTCGGCCGGACATGGTCCGATTTTGTTGCGGTTTGTTTTGTTGAACTCAAAATATCCTAAGGAAGATTTTGAGCCCAAGTTTTTTTAAAATTGGTTCATTCTAATGGATTTTAGAGAGGGGGGATACTTACTTATTGAACGCCCCTCGTATAACAACCAATAAGTTTCGTCGAGGTGAGATTCTGATATTAACATTTCGCGGAAGGCTCATGCATTTTTATGTATCTAAAATTGACTTCCAGAGAATATGAAAAACTAAGCTCTTTAGTAAATAATTCTTCATCAAAAGGTTAATTCAAACGAACTGGACGCATTAAAATATTCCAAAATCAACTCAAAACAAGTGAAACGTTTTATTTAGACCTCCCGCTACCTGAAAAAAATCACGATCTACTTGAGTTGCATAAATTTCAAAATACCTTGCGATAAATAATTCTCTCAGCGTGTTGAATTTTTCATGAAAATTTTGCAAGTACACTGTATCAAAGAACGTGGAAAAGTTTTGAGGAACCGAACTGCAGTCGTTCGATGTTGTTGTTTTTCTTCTTATGATCGGTTAGACATAAATTAATTTTTGTTTCTCCGCAAGCAGGTACTGCGAAGGCACTGATTTGACACTATCAAAGTATCCATTTCTAAAAGAAAAAAAAGAAAAAGAAAAAAAATCTATTTTGCACTTTTCAAGCATGCTTAACGTGCTTTGTGTAAAACTTTCACGAAAGACATATACCTTGCAGTGAATTAATTCTTTCTCTGTCTAGTGGGACATTTTCATCACTCAGAGGGTATTTTATACCTCTTGTAAACAATGATATTTTCGGTTCCATAAAATTTAATGGATTTTGTTCAACGTTTAGCTCAGACTGAAAATTGTTCATTAAAATTGTATTACTGTTAATAGGTTGATTACGATACACTAGAAGCCGGACAGAGGGCAGTGAAGAGAAATGATGCCTGGGGCTTGCTCCATATTCCAGCCAATTTCAGTATGGATTTAGGTGCCCGGCTCAGCAAGGGTCACAACGTCGAGGAAGTTTTCCTGGATGGCAGCGTTGTCGACGTTTGGCTCGACATGTCCAGTAAGTACACATATTTTAATAAAAAATAAGAAATTAAGATGGACATCGAGCTACAAGCCCAAAAAACAAATTGTAATGTAATCAATTACATGATGCTAACTAAAAATGTACAATAATTGATGAAGAAAATATGACAAAAGGAAGAAACTTACAATACTGTCGCGCTGAGGAAGAACGCCGTATGAACATCCGAGAGTTGCCAGATTTCCTTCAATAAAATGTTTATTTTTGAGAAAAGTTATGAATATTTTTCCTTGAAATTTTCAGGAACTTTAGGTAAAATTGCATACAACATTATCAGAAAAATTGGAAGAAAAATATTCATAAATTTACCAGGAAATTCGTGTTTTATGAATAAAAAATATACTGTCAATGTTACCCTCAGTGAGCGAGCTAGCACTCATAAATCGAGGAGTATGTAAAATTGCATATTCCAGAAGGTGAAGGCGTTTTCAACGTCCTTAGCTTTCATTCTGTGCATTCCGGCTCTCAACAGCTGCGTTGCTGAGTGAGTCCTGTGCTAGTGCTGTACTGCCGTGCTAAGGAAGAACGCCGTATGAGCCTTCAGACGTTGCAGAGTTTCCTACGATAAAAAACCGAATTTACTGGGAAAATAGTGAATATTGTTTTCCGCAATTTGCATACAATTTTGTGCGCATTTAATCTAAAATGTCTGAAAATTTCAATTAAATATGCATGAATGTTGTTAAAAATACACTTTTTATCAAGGGAAATTTGGCTACTCTCGAATGTTCATGCGGCGTTCTTCCTTAGCACGGCAGTATACGATATAACCTTGGGAAACCATATTCCAACAATATAAATAAAATGATTCAGAAATTTCAACATTTTTTACTCATTTTTCTCCTGTTTCCAGATCATATTATTGGATATCAAATGAAACGAGAAGTCGTAAGTAATTTCGTCGATGCAGTGAAGGAGCTATTGGCGGATTGCGGCGTTGACACGAAATACGGAAGTATTCCAATTAAGGTAATATTTTTCTCCGATTCATTTTGACGATAATTCCTATCTGTGCCAAATTTTTATGATTTTCTACGCTGGACTATATATGTGACTACCCATAGACAAAGAGACCCTATTCCACGTTAGAAAATTTTCAGGAGATTGATTTCCATCAAGCTCGACTGAAAAAGTAAAATATGAGTTTTCGTTGGAAAACACGGTCTCCTCTTCCAATTAAAGAAAAAGTTTCAAACTGTTTCGTTAATTTTTATGTCAAAATAGGATGTTGGGGGGAGCATGGGGTTTCATTCTTAGTTCAGCTTTAAGTTTCGAACTTGGTATTTTAACATTTTCCTCAGCTTTTCTGCAAAAATTTAATTTTTAAACTGCAAACATCTTACCGTCACAATTGCGGCTTTGGTTTGACATTTTTGAACGTTCTTTATGTTAAAATTTCATCAAAACATACGCGGTACCAACACAAGTTCTGTGGCTGTCGCGTATATTTAAACATATACATTTTATTAACACTGGCCTAACTAAAACGAGTGAATACTTTATAAAAAGAAAAATTCAACGCAATGTGTTTTTTAAGTTTTTTTTCTTCTGTAAATGAAATTTTGTCTTTAAAAAGGCTTAAGATGCTAAGTACATATGAAATATTCAAAAAATATAAATAATTGATGATTTTGCGTAACAGCAAGGCTTTTCCAGGTACTGTAAAATTTGATTGGCTCAAACTAGACGAATGACCAATTTAATCTAACTGATTTTATGTATCTGGGTTAATGAATTCAAGAAAGAGGTTGTTCCATCTGCCATATGAGTTGGGCCTAGAATTGAAATTTTTCATTTTTTCAGGTATCAAAGGGTATGGTCTAAGGTGTCCGAAAATGGCCAACTTTTTGATCTGGCCCCCCCTGGAGAGGGGGGGGGGTCCAGTGAAAATCACTTTTTTGGGCATAACTCGAGAACGGTTAAAGATAATGCACCAAACTTTTTTTTAAATGAAAGAGCATAATAAAAGCTTTCCAGCTAGCTTTGGAAAAAAATCCATTCCGGGCCCAACTCATATGGCAGATGGAACAACCTCTTTGAATCTAATCTGGCAATGTGAATTCAAGGCATGTGTGTACCCGAAGTATGTAACGTCAAAACTCAAAAAATAAATCGGAAATCAAGCGGAACAATCTTCAAATTTTCAACTCTAAAGTTTGATCAACTGTTTAATTATTCAAACAATTAATACCTCGCTTTTATGGATTTCAGTTCAATGAGGCAATTTATGGGGAAAACAACATGCCGTTTGTCAATTACTCATCTCCCGCCATTCTTTGCTTGTAAGTAGCTGCTGAACTTTTTTCCCCCACATGTTGCAACGGAGGGCAACTCTGTATTTGCATTTGTATTTGCTAGACGAGTTTTCGCAATCTCAATTAGATTTGCTGAACCAAATGCTCAAATCTTTGGTCATCAGTTGTAATTAAGAATATCTAAGCGTTGGTTTCTGAAAGTAATCAGTACAGTATGGGGAAAATAATTGTGCGGGGCTGCTAGAATACATTATCTCGATTAGAATGAATTGATTAGAATTTAGATTAAAATGCGTCTACTACGTGCTGAATTTTAGATTCGTTTAAAATACGTATTACTGATGTGAGAGGGCCGCCCAGAAAGCAAGTTTACCCAATCAATATTTGCTAAATTTTTAGTAGAAAAAGTCTTTAGACATCCAAAATTTTACTGAGCGTACCAGCAAGTGAGCTGCTGTGTTTAAAAGAACAAATGGAAACAAATGAATATGGAATAAGAGTAAGGAAAAGGAGCGCGCTCATGACGGCGCAGAGATACAACTATTCGTGCTTGATGGATGTCCGTGTTGCATGTGCAAATATTGAAGGCGCGATGGCGCGAGGCTTGCTCCACTCAATGTTGCGAGTCATCATTCCTATTCGGGAGAAAATTAAAGAACGAGGCCAGATTACGTCTCTCCTATCTTTCGCTGTGTTGCTCACGTAGCCTTTGCATCACCACTACAAATAAGACAAACGGAAACAAACACAAAAAAGAGATACAGTTAGAGAAAGGAAGCGCGTAGGACGGCGCAGAGATACAACTATTCCTACTTGATGGACGTCCGTGTTGCGTCTGCAAAATTGAAGGCACGAATCGTGAAGTTGCAATGGTATCCGTTCTATGCTACCGACGAGATGTTGCTAAGATTCGGGAGAAAAGTTGAAAAATGATGTCCGATTACGCCTCTCCTATCTTTAGTAATTTCCTAAGAAGAACTAAAATTACAACTTACGACTACTTTTATTTACTACATACTATAACTTCATCAACTTTATTAACTTACTTTGTCTACAGGTGTGCTTTCTATCTTCCGGCTATTTACATAGGAGCAAATATCATGGCAGAGAAAGAAGGTGGCATCATCGAAAGAACCTTAGTGGCAGGTACTATCATTCAGTGTGTGATTTAGTTTATTTACTTTTCATTCTTGAAATACGAGCTATGAACGCGTGGTGTTTGCAAGGAATATTGGTTACCTTACGTTGTAAATGAAGATAATGTGAAGGTTTACCACTATTTTCTTTCGTTATTGAACGAGATTAAAAATGAATAGGACAACGTATTAGGTGTACAATTCTCTACTTTGGAGCAGTGCCACAGCAGATCTGTCTATTTCCATATCCTTGGAGGCAGAGTCATTCAAAAAATCAACCTATAAAAGTTCAAAAATACAATTTCCGATTTTAAACCGATTTCTTTGTATTGAATTTGATGGTTAGTTGAATACAGTACATTTGACCGTTTTAAGGTTTCGAGGTATGATTTTTGGAATGAATATCCCCTAGTTATTGATCTAGAGTCTAACATTTTGATACCTCCGAAATAATCCTCTCCATAGTTTCGATTTGAAATCTATGGATCGTTCCTAAAATGCTGTGCATCAAAGCTAAGAACCCACCTTAAAATGATTTTAATCCTGACAATTCCCTTGGTTGTTTGATTTAACAAGCCTCTTTTAAACCTTCAAACTTTGTCTCGAAACTTTGTATAACATGGCTTATTTTTTCAGGAGTGAAAACGAAAGAAATCATCCTGGCCCACGTGACTATTGAAATAGGTTTCCTGACCTTACAAACTGTGTCCCTAATGTTCGTGGCTTACGTAGTCTTTCATAACCCATTTGTAGGGGACGGTCTATCGATAGCACTACTCCTCACCTGTATCGGAATCAACGGCATGATGTTCGGTAAGTTTAAGATTTACGTGCCTTCAAGTACCTATGGTATGCGTGAGTATGCATTTAATCATTTCACTACGGTGAATCTAAATAATCAACCTGCGATGATCCCAATGTCACCATCAAAATTTGGAAATTGTCTGCTTCCATTACCTAAGTAAAGAATCTAAATTTTTGTATACGAGCTCACCCTTCATATTTTTTGTGAAGACATTAATAGCCTGAGATGCTGAATGTCTCTAATAAAATTGACTAACTCACTAATTAAGTAATCTAGGAACCAAATCTGTCACTGCGGTGCACTGTCACGCAGATTTTGTTTTCTGGAAGCAATAATACTTATCGTAATCAATGAATTTATGTAAAAAACTGACCCATAACGTACATCAGCATTACCATGGAGTTGTATGACATCTTTGTAAGATTTATTGAATAACCGTATAAAGACTTGGAGGAAGGATGTCGCCCATTGAATCGACGTGTAAGAGAAAGATGGAGTATGGTTTCTCTCTCTCGCACACTGAGTCAATGAGCGACGTCAGTTTACCTAATTGCTGATACGAATGTTCAGTCATTCATTAGTTCAGTCATTATGACTTATATTCACCACTTGTGAGTGAAAATATCAGTATATTTGATACTAATTTCAAATTGGACACCGAAAGTGTGTCCAAAGAGAGATATGGCTGTCTCTAATTAGTGTTTAGAAGTTTAAGCAGAATTCTGAGCGACTAGTCGAAACTTACACCTCAGTTACTTGAGACTAGACGTTGAGAATTTTAATAGCTGTTAAAGTGAATGGTCACTATTCATTTATTATTGGAAATAAGAATAGTCAAATGCTTTGCCAATACGAAATAGGGACTCGATTTTGATTGAAAGCGAATAAAAGCAAACCGAGTATTTGTAACCTTTTATCAATTTTTTCAGGTCTCCTGCTCTCAGTTATATGCTCATCGCAGACAGACGCTGCATTTTTTGGTGTTAGTACAAATTTCCTATTGAAATTCATATGTGGTAAGTTATATGTGAATCCTTATGACTCTTTTAATTCCGTGTGAATATTTATCTGAATTATTCGGCTCACGGTTTGTAATAAATACAAAATGTCAGATTCGATCGTAAGTAAAATGATAAAAATTAATGGAGGGAAACGTACGGACCAATCTCGAATGGTTCAGTTACACGATCAAATTGAGCCATCAAATTGAAGCTCTGATTGGTGGAAAAATACCTGAGGCGAGGATGCGACCAATGAGAGGCCCAATTTGATGGCTCAGTTTGATCGTGTAACTGGACCTGAACAAATTAACCTAGCAACTCACAATTTTAATCAGGGAATATTACGACCAGTTTCAGGTTAATACATCTTATTCTCTCCTTTTACGAGAATTATTTAAACAATGCCATACACATTTGAACGTGTAAAGTTCCCGTCATCATTAATGCCCTATTTTCAAAAATTCATAGGATGTAAGGAATACGAACAAAAAAGATCAACAGAACGAATAAAACAGATCAACAACACAATCCATTTAATGTAAATACATATTACATTCACACAAAAATGTGAGCGCATTCATTTCAACAGAACCACAAAACTCCTTCAAAAAGAGTCAATGCAATTTGTGTTGCTTTTCTCCAGTATATTATGCTAAGCTACCTTTGAGGAAAAACATATCTCTTTCGGAACTGTCTCAAAAGCGGTTTGTTCTGTTCATCGAAGAATCTCTTTAACTTTTGTAATTCATCTTGGGCTTTGGTGTTTGCGCTAGCAGTTGATGTTTTGCGTTGTTGCGTTTCTTATTATTCTTCTTTCTTTTCTCATTTCTATAAATTCACTGGATAAAAAACACATTGAATCTAGAGTCCAGACTCTTAAAAACATCGACAAGAAAAAATACTCTTGATTCAATCCGATTTAAGCTTAAATCAAGAACCAAGCCTCTTAATTTGAGCGGATTTCCTTTTGATTTAAGCTTAAATCTGCTTGAATCAAGAGTCCTTTTTCTTGTCAATGTTTTCAAGAGTCTGGACTCTAGATCCAGTGTGTTTTTTTTCCAGTGTTCGTAAAAACGTAAAAAATAAAGCTAAAAATTACGTTTATTTTTTGTGTGACAGGTCTCCTTTGGCCGGTGGAAGGTATGCACGGGTCGTTGCGATCGATCAGTATGTTCCTGCCTCTGACCCTCCCGGTGGAGGCTTACCGAGCTTTGTCCATCCGAGGTTGGGGTCTCACCAACAAAGTCGTCCTCGCTGGATTCGCCTCCTCAATAGGATGGACGCTCTTCTTCATTGCTCTAATCATCATAATCTGTAGATATAAGAGGGATGTCTGGGTGGGGAAACAATAAACTGTACAATGTAGTCTGTCTCGAATTATTTTATTGCCCCCCCCCCCCCCGTTTCCGATAAAGTCAAAGTTTCTGCCGTAACCAAAGAGAGTTCCAAGGTCAAATCTCCGAATAAGAAGCACAAAACAAACACTTTTGAGCTTAAATGTTTTCTTGGAAAATGTTTGTTTTTACCTTTTCTTCCTGATTTCTCGGTTATTTTCCTTTTTTTGAATGACGATGGTCAGGAAATTTAAAAAAAGGTAAAAACAACCATTTTCTAAGAGGACATCATCACGATTCCTGATCAAAGTGGAAAAACTTTCAAAATTTCAGCTTGAGGCCCAACATTAAGCACTGATTTTTCGTTTAAATACAAGATTTTAGGGGAAAATACGTATAAACTGTGCTGAAATTCGCTAACTCGTCATCGAAAAAAATACATCAAACGTGATTTTTTTTTATTCGTAAATTCAGCACATACGCTGATATTTCGGCCGGGAAAACTTGAACTGGAGACGATATAAAATATCCCAGGGTAAAATCACCAGACTTCATAAGCGTATTCTGTGAGTAAGAAAATAATTGTTTTCCTGTATAATTTCCGCCCAAAATACTCCCAGTTTGAACTACGGCCTCCGATTTTTTTTTAAAAAAAAACAAAACAAAACAAAATCATCTCTAAAGTCTGGAGAGCATTATCAATCAAAATTATGAAAATTGATAGCTCTTTTAATTTTTTGGCTCCAATTCTATTCATGGTCTTAAACAAATTGAAATCTTAAAATAAAAGGGATTGTTGGAATGTTGGGGATCTTAGATCCTTCAGAGGAAGAATTGCGTTCCCCGTTGGACCTCAAAAATCCCTTCTAGTATGAGAATTTAATATTTTTAAGGTCATAAATATTAGCGCTAAGAGCTTTAGGGGACAACCATAATTGATACTAAAATCCTAATCAATTTGTAGCACTAAAATCATCCGCAGGGCCTCAAGAGTATCGAAATCTCACATCAACGGGAGATTTAAGGGGGTTTAAAGCTTTCAGATTGCTAATCTTAGTTATGTCACCCCCTAGCCTCATAAAATTTCCCTTTAATTCAAGGTTTCAGTATTATTGAGGCCATGGATTAATTGGACGCATTTATGCCAGGCGGAACCATGTTCATCATGTAATATAGTTCTTATGTGAGCCCTCTTATGCATATGTTCTAGTGCGTCTCAGGGCTCATGTTCCAATGCACATAGTTCCGTTTGGGAGAAATGCGTCCAATTCAACATTGAAAATTATGGGAGACAACTGTTATTCATTAGTTCTGAACCATAGCAGTTGCAAAAATTTTACCCTTAGATTGGAGAGAGGGCAAAATTTCGACTGGGAGCCCTTTTGATTTGATTAAAAAAAAAAAAAATAGGAAACATTTAAAAAATGTTCAAATGGTACTCGCAGTATGATTTAGGTTTGAATGAGAGTAGCCAAAATGTATGAATGATAATGCATGATTCATAAAAAAAACTTCCGTTTGATTATAAAATGTAAGTTTTTGTTTCTTTCATAAATTCCATTATCATTCACAGCACCTGGCTACCACCGCTACCCTCATGCAAACAAAAAAAAGAAAAAAAAAAACTGTTCGAGGAAAAATTATTATCTTGAATTATTATCATAACATAAGCTTCTACAGTCTGGCCGTTCAACCCGTACTGGGACACCCTGTTTTTACAGCTTACTTTCCTGTCCCTGCGTTTGAGTCTCCGGCCAAATTTAGGCCTGATTCATGAGGGCACCAATGATCAACCCAACAAAAACCACCTAATTACACCACACCACTCGGTTGCTCAACAACCGCTGACAATCGGAGTGACAACGGTGACATAAACGAGATTCCAGCGCCCGTTCAAATATCCGCGCTACAGTTTTGAGATTTTTGACGCCGTCAGAAAATGTCAAATTCCATGCTCGGAGTGCCGCGTTGCCGCAACTCTATAAAATTCCGAAATCCACCGAAAGGGGACCACCACCCTAGGGAGGAACGTCGTATGAACATTTAACCCTTTATTGCATAGCGTTGAATGAAAGCAACAAATGGTTTTCAGCTTTATTTCTATGCTAGAGTATTAAATTAAATCAAAGCAAAACATGTTTTTTTCGGAGCATTTTAAGTCTGATCTCCTAACTTTAAAAGAAACTACAAAGATCGATTCCAACTGACTATATTGTCGAAAAAATACTGCACAGTGTAGATTTTCTGTCCAAAATCAACGATTAGCTCATGCAACAAAGGGTTAAGTGTTGCCGAATTTGTACGAATAAAATTTTTATTTTCGAAACAAACGGAAAATACCCTCTCCTCGAAATTTTCATGTACGCCAGATTTAACAACGAGGGATATTGTTTTAAAACATTGGAGTAAAAATGGAGATGTTGCATGTGTGAGGAATTTGCGATTCGACTATTGATTCTTATGTAAAAGTTCGCGCGAAACACGATGGTGCTACTGGTCTTCTCTGAAATCAACTCCCAAGCTCAAAAAAGCTCTCAAAGTTGAGGCCAAAATGGAGGGGATATCCCACGCTATCCTGAGAGTCCATCTCTACATCAAGACAAACTCTCCATGCAAAGATAGAAAGCAAATACATTGACAGGGCTGTCACTTCATTTGGGGACTCCAAAACTGAAAACACGGCAACCCTGCTAATGTATTTGCTCCCTATCTTTGCATGGAGATTTTGTCTTGATGTAGACGTGAACTCTCAGGATAGCGTGGGATATTCCCTCCATTTTGGCCACAACTTGAGAGCTTTTTTTGAGCTTGGGAGTTGATTTCACAGAAAACTAGTGGCACCATCGTGTTTCTCGTGAACTTTTACATAAGAATCAACAGTCAAATCGCTAATTCCTCACACATGCAACATCTCCATTGTTTAAGTGATCCGAAAAATTCGCATTTTATAAAAGGAAATTAGGCACTGTTCGGATGTTTTAGGGCGTTTTTCCTTCACACCTCGGATTTTCGGGCATTTGTTGGAACGCAGTGCTTTCTGCGGCGGCTTCTACAGGAGCAATCATCTCAGTCAAAAGGACGTATCGTCATTGTGATTCGAGCTCTGAGACCTATAAGAATACACGTGCAACAAGGCCTCTGGCACGCTGGATATAGCTCCTTTTGACTTGAGTGCGTTCAATTGACGCGCGAATTTTTATGAGTGAATTATTTCGCCAACTTCTTTCGATGAGCAATTAGGCCGGACAAGTACACTCGAAAACACCTTCCTCGGGGGGCCTGGCCGCTTCATTTTTTTTGTGTTATTTTTTAATCTCCCGGCAACCGGATTTTTTCTGTCGTTCTGTGTAAGAACAACGTATCGAAGTAGGGTTTTTCATTGTAGTCACGCTATCACGGCTTAAGGGCTTCACTTTGTTTTGCACGTCGCCCGTGTCGATATCTCTAAATCCCTCTGTGTTTAAGTTTGTGTCTGTGTGACAACTTCGCTCTGTGGGAAAATGTCTCCAAAGTTTGGGGAATCCCGGAATGTCGATCATCTGTCTCTCCACTTCCCTAGTTGTTATTAATTTTGCCTAAAGGGCGTTCTCGATGCGCCGTCATCCGGATTTAACCAGAATTTGTCGTTCCCCTGACAACGGAACGTAATTCTATTCCAAGGTTGCAAAATGGACTCAAAAATGAATTTCGTACAAGGTATTGTCAGCCCCGGCTAAAACATCACAAGCACCATGCGATGTTTCAAAATTTCCTCCGCCATTTAACTTGCCTACAAAAATATTGTTGATTGAATCTATTTGAAAGTAATTTCAATGAATTTCATCGGCAGCACAAAGAAAATTCAGGGAAACTTTTGAACAGCTTCGACGAACAATTTCTCTGTATAAAAATAAAATTGCGGCGGAAATTTTGAAACGGTCGAAAGGTGACGATATGCCTGTACAATTTTGCCGTATAAACGCCGTATGAACATTCGAGAGTCGCCAAATTCCCTTCCATAAAATGTCAATTTTTTAAGAAAGTTATGAATATTTTTCCCTGAAATTTTCAAGAACTTCAGGTGAAATTGCGAACAAAATTATCTGAAAAATCGGTGGAGATATATTCGTAGGTATATAAGGAAATTTGGTTTTTTATCAAAATAAATTTTGTAACCGCTTGAAGATTCATACGGTGTTACGACTTTTTTCCTCGATACGGCAGAATTGCTATCCAAAATTTTGCTGATTTACACTGGAAAAAAAACACATTGGATCTAGAGTCCAGACTCCTGAAAGCATTGACAAGAAAAAATACTCTTGATTCAATCGGATTTTTGCTTAAATCAAAACTAAATCCGCTTAAATTAAGAGGCTTGGTTCTTGATTTAAGCTAGATTCTGATTGAATCAAGGGTTCTTTTTCTTGTCGATGTTTTTAAGAGTCTGGACTCTAGATCCAATGTGTTTTTTTTTCCAGTGTGATTTATGCCTGTAGTTTCAACCAATAATCGAGACCTCTCCGTTCGGATACTATAAAAATGTATGCAGTGGTGGAAAAGTTTGTCTTTAGAGAGAATTTGTTTTGCAAAAAGTGGAGATCGGGGAGGGGAGGAGGACTCCAACTCAACGAATCGATCTTTTACATGCATTTTTAACCGAGAACAGTAAAAATTCAATGCTAACAATTTAAACAGCGCGTAACAAGGCTAATTTTCACATAAATACCACCAAATCGTTTCGGCTGAAAACTCAGCCGAATCAAGCCTTCCTCAGTTGGATAATAACAGTAAAACATTTTAAAAATCTAAAAAACTTAGTACTTGGCTGTACCTCTCAAAGCGAGAAAAATGTTATTAAAATATGTTGTAGGTATAAATCCAAACTGACTATCGGGTCTTTTCCAGAATGATGAAATGAGTATATGATGTGATGCAACTCTGTTATGGTCTCGGCGAGGAGCTGGTCAGCGGCGAGGCTTGAATGATCGATTATCGATATTTCCCCATATGAAACTATGGCAAAGAATAGATTATCATGATAGTCGTTGCGAA